AAAGAAAGAAAGAAAGAAAAAGACGAAGAAAAAAGAAAGATAGAAAGAAAATAACCACCCTCTTCTTAAAAGCTCAAGCATCAGTCACCATAAAGTCTACCAATAAAATCTGGAGAAGGACTCTCCCCTTTCTCGCCTCTGCCTTTTATGTACTTAGTCGTGGTATCACCTCTCATTTGAAAGGCACTCGCTGAGTCTTGATCCTCTCCCCCATTCTAATTTTAATTTTTGACACTCCAAACTACCTCCTAATGACTCAGTCCTTAGGGATGAGGCTTTGGGCAGGAGGTCGGAGGGGGCGGGTGAAGGCAGGGGCTGAGGGCTTTGCACCTCGCCCCCGGAGATTCTTCCCCCGTGCTCTTGTGTGTGGAAACCAAGCGGGAAAAACAGTGTGCAGGTGTGTTAACACTTCCCCAGGCAACCGGGGCTGAAGGAATGGGTACTTGGGACACAGAATCGTAGAACCAAAAATCATTTAGATTGAAAAAGACCTTCAGGACATCCCCTTTCACCTTGTTCTAGCAAACCACCTGGAGTTCCGTGGCTAATCTTGTCCTCCTCTATTTCCCCAGTGTTGCCTGAGCACCTCCAGGTCTCCCAGCCCACCCGGCAGCTCCAGGCGCGGATTAGGATCCATCCCTGCGCCTGGACCCTGTCCCCGCACCCAGCTTTGAGCCCACCGAGGATAGGGCAGATCACCTCCTTGTCTTCCCTTTGTTGGCCCTTCCTCCCCTTTTCCCGGCTCTTCTGAACCTTACAAGAGCCTCGGGACTCGTGTAATAGCCCATCATTGTGTTCAGATCTTAACGCGCTGTCATTAGCGCTGTTGTCTTCTTCTTTTCTCTTCTTTTCTGTTCCAAGGGCCAATTTAAATCGCATTAAAAATCCTAAATAGCTGGCTTAATTAATGGCTTTCGCGGCTCCAGCTGAGATAATCTCCAGCCGACTAAAGCCAAATCATTCGGCGACTTCCAGCCCGCCAGGAGTTTGGGGCTGGGAAGGGGACGGAGGGGATGAGCAGCGGGTTTGACGGGCTCTGCCCGGACACCGAGCGCTGCTCCGGGCCGGGAGGGAGCGGAGCCGGAGCATCCTCCGCTCCTGGCCACGGCCAGTCCTTGGCCAAGACATCAGCCTGGGTTTTGAGAGCTTTTTCTGTTTGTTTGTTTGTTTGCTTGATTGTTTGTTTTGTTTTGGTTGGATCTTTCGGCGAGGTTTTGTTTGTCTGTTTGAGGTTTGGTTGGTTCTGGGGGTGTTTTTTTCTTTTTGTTTGTTTGTTTGTTTGTTTGTTTTCTCTACTGCTCTAC